TTTGCTTTTTTTTCCCTGGTTGGCAATTGCCAGTTTTGTGGAATGTTCCAGTGCAGACAGTTTTGTTGGAATTGCTCTGCAGGATTTCGGTTTACTGAGAGAACATCAGGTCTGTGTAGCTGAATATATTTTTGACATTCTATTTGAGTCTATTTGGGCCTATTTGAGTTATTTCTTTAAAGGCTAACTTTAACTTGAGTTAAAACATGATGAAGTAGTTCTACTCTTACTTACAATTTTTTTGGTACTTGATCCCCCTCCTGTTTATTTCAATGGAACATAATATGAGTGAAGCAGTGGAGCTTATGGAGCTTTTACATTTTGCAGACACCAGGTGGCAGTCAGTCACTCAATATCTGCAGGAATTCAGCAGCAGCTTGGCCTAGTCAATGGATACGATTTATTGCCCAAATTACATTTGAATTATTATCCTGACTTACACAGAAATGGTCGACAAACATTTTTATTTGGCATTTTACACAATAAGAGTAAACTTCAAGCTGGCATCGCTCTAGTCCTGGGGAGTTTGGCTTTTGCCAGCAGCTATTTATAATCTGTTACTTTGGACAGTTCACAGACCTTGACTGCAGGTTTACCACCTTTTACTGCTGCAACACTTTACTGCGGAAATGACAGGCCAGTAAAAGCCTGATGTAATTCATCATGTTGACAGAGATCTTCGGTATGTGAAAGTTGCAGGCAGGTAAAACTGGAACCAAGCTAAACGAACTCTGACAACACGCTGCGGATGGAAGAGCACCAGAATGTGTTGTTATACATCCCAAGGGTGTAATAACAGTTGTGTGTCTTATTTTGTTGTCTTTCTTGCTTTGCCTTCTTTGTTGAATGACTGGTACCAGTTTGGAAGCAGCCACAAATCTTATTTTCACAACCGGGAGGGTCACAGGTCAGCGCCGAGGGAAGTCATAAAGGTCATGTGGAAAGCGGGTACACCCTCTAGTATTACACATGTGGGCAATGCCTCAAAGAATCTCTTAAAAACCCTTTAAATTCCTGGACTTTGGTGGGATTGATGTTCTCCAGTCTGGGAGTTACAGATCACACTGTTACTCAAGCCCCTCACCCTTTTATTAGCATTCCCTCACATATGCTGCTTTAACTAAAAGGAACAATAGAGGCTACTTGAAGTTAAGCTGGCAAAGCATTGGGGTGGGGGGGTCTTTTGTTAGTGTTAAACTAGGTTTTTCCTCTAGAGAATATATCAGACTATACAGGGGAAGAAAACAGTTATATCAAGATTTTAGTCTTCCAGCACATAAAACTAAGTTTTTATTAGCAGCAAAACATTTGGATCACTAGTCTGTAAGTGGAAAAACCTTAAAATCATCCCTGTGACATTTTATATTGAGTAAATGCTGCTAGGTTATGCTAGAAAGGATACCTTTTTAAACATCATACTGTTATGATGTTAATTTTCCAGTCAGCCAGTGTCAGTCAGTCATGGAAAGTTTTTCCAAAACAACATTTGGAATGTATTGTTGCAATTGTAAGTGATTAAATTATAACCATTTATATAGATGTCTCAAATAAAATGTAATATTTCAGTGGTTTCTATCTAGATGTATTGAAATTATCTTAAAAACAATATTTTCAAAATACTATAAAAATACATATTGTAGTCCCTGGGCTCAAAAGTCAAAGATCAGTTATGAAAAAAAAAAAAGTTCAAGTTATAAATCTATGTGTCCTATCCATGGGTGCGCACTTGAAAATATTTTAAAGATCGGCTTTTAATCTCAAACAACATGTGTTTATTTTGTTCACATGAAACCACAAACAACATGTCAGCGTGCTCAGGCTAAAGAGTTAAAGCTGTGGGATCAGGGAGTATGAAACTGGTCAAAATGGGAAATTCAGTGCAAAACATTTTGGACATATTGGAGTAATGTAGCTCTACCTGACATCATACTTTGTAAACAAGAGCTAATATCCTGCATAGTTTGATTATTTTTAGAAGGTGAAAACATATATACAATTGACTTACAAAGCTTGGATTTCTGCTGCAAAATTTCACAAAATACATCTACCTATAAAAACACATGTAGGAAAAAAAAACCGAAACAGGCAGTTCTATTCTGTTTATCATCAGGGCCGCAACATTTCAAGAGGCATGGGAATCAACCAATCCTGTGATGTCACCAGATGCATAATTGCTTTTTTCTGGGATTTCAGGTTTTTTTTTTTTTAAATAAAGCAGAAAAACAAAATAATAAAAAAAAGAAACAATAGCAGCTGAATCATCAAGTCTGATTGGGGGATGTGCTAGCCATTAAGACGCATCCTGACGACAGATGTCCATCGCTAATCAACGCCTTCATGTTGGGCTGAGTTTGAGCCAAGATGCTGAAGGTTTTGTTCTGAGCGCTTGTGCTACTAATTCAATCAAAAGGAACGCGTGCTAGCAGCAAAGCCCAAGCGGCAAAGCGGATCAATATATTAGCAGGAGGTAAAAGACAAGGGGTGGTGAATGATCTTGACCTGATGCTCTCTGAACACCAGACGTTGGTAAACTTTAACCTTTTGCTCGCCAGCTAACACTTTGCTTTTAATTACCCCAGCAAACAAATGGACAAATCAGCTCTCTGATTAATCACAGATTGATTTGACATGCTTAATTAAACCCAGTGACACGAGCATGCGCTTTTAACTGTCATGTAAAAGAAGAAATTAAATAAAGTTATGTTTGTTCAGGACGTGAGCTTGTTTGCAGCTGTTAAATCTTACTCTCTGTATGGCCCCTGAAGGCATCGGTATCCGTATAAGTACCCTCATTGTGCTCCTTTATGTTTAAATGCAAACTATTTAAAGTTGGGCACTCCACCCAACAGTTTGAGAATGCTTCATCGTTTTCGATCCTTTGCAAAACCAATTATAATTTTTCACACCAACAGAGTCTGACAAAAAAAAAAATATATAAAACTCCAGTTTAAACTGGTCTGCTCTAACCAATATTAATCAAATGACATCCTTACATAACACATGCTGCAGATTAATTCTTAATTCAGCTAATTTTAACGGGATTAGAAGGAAGTAGGTTAATCTTTAAAGTAATCTTTGGTGTTGAGGCTGTCAGAGAATTGCTGTCTGAACGATGAAGACATCAAACTGGCCTGGATTTGACCTACTGACTCAAATGCTGACCCCAGCCATCTTGCAGGCATTGTGTTGTGATGTAGTGATTAGTGATTGCTGTGTGGCCTTTTGTGTAAATTATGTATGCATCAAATATTCACTGTTGTCCCAGCTTTAGATATTCAAATACCTTGAGGTATTTGAAAACAATTCATTTTAACTCCAACAAATTAAATAGAAATAGGCTTTTAGCATTTTAAACTCAGTTCAATATAATGAAAACTTTTCCATATTCTTTGAAAAAAACACAATGATGAAACCAGTTGTTCCAGACCAGTACATTTTCTGCTCATTAGATGCTTTTCTTAGCCTGTTTCCTTCCTCTCTAAAAATACATGCAACGCTGAGGGCAACCCTGAACAGGATGTAACAAACTTCTAGTGTTAAAAGCTTTACTAACAGCACCAATGGTAAACAAAATCTAAAAGATAAAAAAAGATTTCTTCAGTTTAAAGCCAATAATGTATTAGTTGACTCTGACTTTTGAAAAATAGGAGTGGAATTCATATGCAGTCCTTCAGCTCATAGGAGCTGCTGACAGTAACTTTGCTTATATTGACTTTAATTTGAACAAGAATTGTTTTGTTAATTGATCTATGATGCAAGATATGCATCAAGGTTCCACAACCAATAAACTTAGAATATGAGGCTTTAGTATATGTTTAAACCCTTGTGTGCACACAGATTTAAAAAGATAACGTTGCCTCTGTAAACAATATTTGAGGTAGCACAGTAGTTATCCTAGCTGCATTCATGAATCAATATATTTCTGGATCTTAAGAGTCTATTTGAAAATAAAAGTATACTAAAATGATATAATGGTGAGGTAATTATACAAAAAAAGAAAAAGAAAGAAGAAATCATGCATCCTTTGTCATGGCGCAGGGGTGAAAGTCCCAGTATGGAGACCCTGAGGAAACAAAACTAACCAGATCCAATGAAGCACTGACTTTAGCTGTGGTTGCACCCAGACTGCTAAATTTTTTTAATCTAAATAAGTAATATTTTCTTAAAATAAGTGCATTTTTTTTTCTTGAATTAAGGAGGTAAGTGAGACACTTTGCCAATAGAAAAAGACAATTTACATTTGAAATAAGAAAAACTATCACATTGTCTTATTTCAAGTGCATATCATTTTATTATCTGAAGTATAAATACTAATTCCATCGCAAACCATCTTATTTACCTGCTCAAATGAAGGGTAAATAGGCACTTAATTTAAGAAATTTTTACTTATCTTACATCGTTTTTGCAGTGCACAAAACTCTTTAATGAGTTTAAGTCCACAATCCTGTAATTAAGGATGCAGTTATTAAAGTCAAATTGTGCATACTTTTTCCCTCCAACTAACTTTCCATCGAGATCCCTGCGAGCAGATACCCGTTTATCCGCTTTGTTGATGTTGTCAATATCTGTTAGGTCAGATGTCCTCCCTATAGTCTATAGCTTAACATCCCTGGATTATAAAGATAATTAATTGGTGTGATATTTGAGATTTTAACTTTATGACTGCATTACTTGCATAAATTAAGCTTTTGAGGGGTATTCCAGTCTATTCAAATACACCTCTAGGTGTAACTGTTACTATTATTCATTTAGAAATGCACATTTTTGTCACATTGGTAATTTTTCCTTGTCTTGTTGAGTGTTTTACCCTCATGATGTGATTATTATCCCTGATGGGAAGGAGACAGTTATAGTGAATCTGTTATTGTGGTGACTGCTGGTGCTGCATACCGGGGCGGGGTTGTGCGCGCCTCCCCCATGCCTCTGATGCAAATAAAGGGGCTTTACCCGGATCTACTGCAGCAGACTAGCGGCTCCTCCCTGCGCTATTATCGCCTTATAACAGGATACCTCACTGGCGCGAAAAACGCACTGTGGCTCTCTCTATTGTGAGGCGGGCGGGTCCAACGCATGCTGTGTGGGCCCCGGTGACGTTGTTTCTTTATTTTAAAGTCGTATTTCCAAACGGATTTGCAGACAACGTTTTTTCCCCCCTCTCTGCTTTAAATCGATGGTGTCAGCTTGTTGAGGTTTCATGCGCTGAATCGGGCGGGTTTTAATGTGCTGAGCTGCGCGTTTGGAGCCCGCAGAGATCCGGTGAGTACTTTATTCTCAGCATGTTGACTTTCTGCTGAGGAAATGGAGATCCTTTGATGTGTTTTAAAGCAACCTCCTCTTCAGAGCTCTACTGAGCAACGATTCAACTATCATCCAGGAAATACTTTTTTACCCCATGCCCTGCTCTTTGTTCTCTAAGTGAATTGTTTTCTAATAAAAGCTAATGTGAGGAGGGATCATAATCATTCAGATCTCTGCAAAGAGGGCATCTGCAAGATGGAATCAATTATTAATGTCCCATTTGTTAGATGTCAGCTGTTCCCAGAATAATATCCCATTAGATGGATATTTGATCCGTTAATGCGTAAAACTTGTGGTAAAATAATCTGTTTCCATCTGGATTCACAGGATCGTCCTCCTTTTGTGGATTTTATCAACTTCACCATGGAATTGGATTGTTTCCAGTCTTATTTTTTCCACGATTTCGACATGGAGGAGGATTTTTATAAGTCCACTGCACCCAGTGAGGATATCTGGAAAAAGTTCGAGCTGTTGCCCACCCCTCCCATGTCCCCCCACCGGACTCAGAGCGACTCGCCCCTGCACCTCTCTCCTGGGGACAAACTCAGCTGGCTGTCTAAGGTGCTGGGGCAGGACGAGGACACGCCCGACCCCACGGAGCTTAGTGCCCACATCATCCAGGACTGCATGTGGAGTAGTTTCAGCAAAGTGTCGGCACAGACCCCGGCCACCCAGCAGATCCGGACCACCAGGACGCAGTGCGCCTCTGCGGGCGGTCTCCTCTCCGCGCCTACGGAATGCGTGGACCCCGCCGCCGTTCTCACCTTCCCCACCAGCAGCTGCAGGAAGCCGGCGTCGTCTGGCTCAGAGTCTCGCTCAGATTCCTCTGGTAAGGACTGCCCCACCCTGCTCTGCGCCTCTGGGTGATAGCTTTGCCAACTAACAATGGGTTATTTGGAAAAAGCAGGACGACACGCAGGAAAAGGGGTTATCCAGTCCAACCTTTCAGACCCCCTCCCTCCCTTCCCTTCCCTGTTTGCACTGAACTGCTCATGCTTCCTTTTGAAAAACCGCGCCCCTATCACTTTAAAGCTAACAGACCTCATATCTTTATCTTGAGCTGCAATAAGTTTTATGATTTACGCAACAGGAGGTGCGCCCCCGGAAACTTTTTAATGGGACAACTATTAATTACTGGATGACTCCACAATCAAAACCCCCAATTTTACTAAATAAACTGTGTTTGGCCCTAAAATCTGGTTATGATAATAAATGATAGCTCCCTGAGAATAATTACTTGACTTTTCCATTATTTTTTTATTTTTATATATTTTTTTGCAATAAATCAATTGAATCTCTTTTTCTACCCACATAACAACCAGTGTCCATGATATATAGTTATCTTTCCTTTTTTTAACACCATGTGCTCCTGGTATCATTTTAGGGCGGTTCCACAAAAGTGTGTCACTTATTTTAAACAACAGTGTGAAATAATATGACAGTGAGAAATAGTATAAAAGCATAATGATCAAAAACATATTAGATCGTGGTCACTTTTTAGATGCGTTTTTGAATTTTGTGCCATCTATATTCTGTTCTGGTTAAGTGGATGGGAATTTATTGATTCAAGACAGGAAATAATTTGATTCAAATAATGTATTACTTGTCGTTAGGTAGTGCACACAGAAAGTCATTACCTGACCATGCACTTACAGGAATTCATGCAAATTTAGCTAAAATAATCAGTTAAAATCTTTAGCTCCTGCCTGTAGATATTACACACTGGATAATAATAAACATATGGTTTTACCATGAGCATACTTCTACTCTAGAATTAGCTGAAACACAGGGTTGAGTAGTTGTTGCATTGCCAGCTACAGGCTAGATATAGTCAACACTGCATTGCTATGCTGATTTTGCTTGAAAATATTTGAGGTTTGGGAAAGAGGGTGGTGGGATGGGATGCCCTCCAGTTTTACCTCCTAAACAACTCATAGGGGGGAGTTAAACATTTACCAGCTTAATATATGCCCTCTCCCTTTGTATCCTCTCATTTAGATTATTGAATAGCCACAGATTGAACCCTCATTACTGCTACTTCCTTGTTGCTGTTTTAGTTACACTTTAACCCACTTTGTAGAAATCTGTTGTCTTTGAATGACGCTGCAGGTTTAGAAGAGCCTTTCCTCTGTGGGAATTCATGACTTATTTCCTTCTTTGACAGATGATGAGGAAGAAATTGACGTTGTCACCGTGGAGAGCAAGCAGAGCCGAGTGCGGCTGCTGAGTGGGAGGAAACCAGTGACCATCAGGGTCCGTGCAGACCCCTGCCCCAAACGCTTCCATGTGTCTGTCCACCGGCAGCAGCACAACTATGCAGCCCGGTCACCAGACAGTGACCCAGAAGAGGAGGAGGAGGAAGAGGATGACGATGACTATGAAGAGGAACCTCTTAGCAAGCGTGCCTGCATTGCATCCCACCAGCTGCCTCCCTCCCCCTCAGATACTCCCCTGAACTCGGATTCAGAGGACTCCGATCGCAGGCGAAACCACAACTTCCTGGAGAGGAAGAGGAGGAACGACCTGAGATCACGCTTCACCGCCCTGCGGGATCAGATTCCTGGCCTAGAGTCGGCCAAGGCCCCCAAGGTGGCCATCCTGACTCAGGCGACAGATTACCTGGAGGAGCTGCACCTCAGCGAGAGGCGGCATCTGCAGGAGAAGAAGCGCCTTAAATCAAGGCGGCAGAACCTTCTCCGTAGATTATCTGAACTCAAGCGCTCCTGAGACTCAATAATAACTGCCTCTTTAACCGCAGATAACTCTTTCCCTCAGAAAAAAAACAATTACTTGTCACTTTCAAAAAAGCTATTCTTGTAAAAGCGCAACTTGTCAATGTAAATAGCTGTGAATTATTTTCTGAATGGAATCATATGGCTGTGGGCTTCCTGTTAAATCCACTGCCATGCCCTGTGAACCTGCTACAGGGAGGAGCAGTTTGCTACAATATGCTATTTGGTTTTCCTTTGCACAGTTCTAAACAATGGGTCATAATTGTTTTATTGCTAAAGCAAAGATATTTCTAGGTATGCTGTGATGAAAAATAGTTTATATTTTACAAACATTTAAAGCAGTCTGAATAAGTAAAAAATCTTGCTTGTGTTTTCATTTCAACATAGAAGTTTGATTATATGTGTGAACATTTTTCTGTTTGCAAGTGTGAATAATGACTGGGTGTACAATTCATTCTGTAAATAATAGCCTATTTCTTGAGGTAAAGGAGACAATGCCAGGGTTTGTCTTATAAATTTGTTCCTCTGTGCCACCAGACTTCTATTTTTTGTTAAAAAACTTAGTCAAAATGATAAAAAAAGGAAAAAGTAGCACCGCTGTACTTTATATTCACACGTCACTTTGTGATTTCCATGCTTCTTTGATTGTTGTTTTTTTTAAAAGCATGATAACCTCAAAGCATCATTAAATTTTTATACCATATTTGCATAAAAAAACATGTCTTTTTGGTTTTGTTACAAACAAACACGCACTATCTTGCCTTATTTTGGTCTTGCTGTGAGATTCGATTTGCACACATTTGAGCCTTTATTGGTTTCCACAGGAGCATCACTCAACCTGAACTAGCACCAAAGTGAAGGCATATTTTCAATATTTAATGCAGAAGTAGCAAATTACTCAAATTACTCATTCCCCTAAATAACATCCGCCACATGCTGATCTGCTACTACCTCTTTTCAAAAGGAAGAATAGATGTATTTTATTTGTATAGTGCCATTCCTTCACAAGGTTATTCAGTGTTCTTCAAAGAAAATTAATACAGAGAACAATGCATTTTTAAGCATCACGAAAAAGTAAAGCAACACTAAATTGGGAACTAGATTTAAAGGAATAGTACACCCAAAACATGATTACCGGTAGCCTTCATTTTCTACTCACCCCCATGCTGAACAACACCCTGGAGTACTTTTTTGATATCTCAAATGCATCTGGAGATCTGGGAGGCTTCTTGCTGTCTGCTGACATTCAAATAATGGAGGTCTATGGTGCCCGAGGCAGATAGGTCCATAAAAGTCCACAAAAAACGTGTCAATATTCCTCCATACTGCCCGTCCAATGTATTCCAAATGTCCTGAGTGGGTAGCATCCAGAATTTACTCGAAACAAAGTCATTTAGAATGTTTTTAGAGCATAAACAGTAGTGTATAGGATTTCCTGAAAGCGCGCGCCTGCGCGTTCACAACGCTATGGAAGCTGGCAGACCAAACCAGATGAAAGTGCGCATTCAGCGTCTGCTCTGCCGATAATGCAAGCGTAGAAGAAGAAATGTGCTGTTTACCTGTGCAAAGAAAGAAACAACGAAAGAAAAATGTCTGAGGACTTCAGTGTTGAGGAAGAGCATGAGTTCTTTGCCGAGCTAAATGCGCACTTTCATCTGGTTTGGTCTGCCGCGGTTTCCGTAGCGTCGTGAGCTCGCAGGCGCGCGCTTTCAGGAAATCCTATACACTACTGTTTATGCTCTAAAAACATTCTAAATGACTTCGTTTCGAGTAAATTATGGACGCCACCCACTCAGGACACTTGGAATACATTGGACGAGCAGTATGGAGGAATATTGACACGTTTTTTGTGGACTTTTATGGACTTTTCTGTCTCGGGCACCATAGACCTCCATTATTTGAATGTCAGCAGACAGCAAGAAGCCTCCCAGATCTCCAGATGCATTTGAGATATCAAAAAAGTACTCCAGAGTGTTGTTCAGCATGGGGGTGAGTAGAAAATGAAGGCTAATCATGTTTTGGGTGTACTATTCCTTTAATGTCTGATTGTTCTGATCCTGGTAACGCTGAGTGAAAAAGTCTTTGATCACCTTAGAGCTTTAGATGGTCTGTACCTGACCAATAAATCTCTTCAGATTCAGGACCATAGAGAGTTATATGGCTATAACCAAAAGCTGTGCCATCACATTAATATATAGATTGGAGCAAGTGCAGTTATAAAAAAAAAACACTGTTAGAGGATCAATTTTTCCAGGATCTTTTTGCGGGAGCAGGACTTGAAAAGAGCTGATAATACTGTTTTTAAATATGAGTACAGGTATTGTCAAAATAAAGGTAGCTATTAAAAAAAAAACAAGCATTTCCTCTGTTTTAGGACAGGAAGCTTGTATAGAAAATATATTTAGATAGAAGTGGCTGACTGACCTAAGAGTATTTCCGTGGTTGTTAAAATTATAGCAGGTAATAAATAAAGTAAGTCTGAGTCCAAAACAACTACATCTGTTGACATTTTGACCTGTTGTAGTGAGCTGCAGCTTGAACAATAGAATTCCCTTCTTGGGAATATTTGTCTTGTTTATGATTGCTAAATGGTACAGAGTAGTCCTGGTCTGTAAAATCTGAATCTGTTAATAATAATAATGAGAAAATCTCACCCAACTTTTTGGTCTTATCAGTTGATTCTGATCATAGCACCAAATTACTTAAGATTAAAATGAAAGAAATGCACAAGGAGAACAGAAGAAAGAACAAGGAATGAGAAACAGGTAGAGAAATAGAAGAATCTAACAAGGAACAATAAAAAGCAGTGAGCTAATACACTAAGGAAAGGGTGAAAAATTATATTGAATGTAATGGTGAATTAACTAGGAGATAATGTTAAGCAACTGAGGTTAAATGGAAACAAAGAAGAAGAAGAACAATGGGACTAATTGACAGAGAGGGAGCTGAACTGAGGTTGATACTGACTACAAGGAATAAAATGGAACAGACAATGAATTAAAAAAAGCAATAAGAAAGAAACCAAACCTATAGGAATGAACTAATATGGCAAGGCCTTTCTGACAATAAAGCTTGTACCATATTCTTCAAGAAATTAGAAATGAGTTCTTGTTCTCGAGGATGCAAGAGCAAGACAGACAGTTTTTTGTTTTTTTGTACCTTGTGAAAAGCTCAGCTGCCAAAATGTCATCAAATGGCTTTCCTTACAATCTTTACAATCACAAAACAAAATACAACAGTGGCATAATAGAAAAAGAGAACTTTTTTGGATTCATAAATGTTTTATATTACTTAGAAGATATACAAATTTTTACATTTTATCTCTGATTTTCAAGCTATATTGACTCCTTACCTGGGGATTTCTAACACATAAAAAAGAGTAGAAAGTCATCTTAGTTTTCCCTTAACATTCCTATCCATATATTTATGAATCACACAATTGTTTTCTGACAAGCTTTAAGAAAACAAACTTGGCCGAGGTATTGCGTTGTGAACAAGCAACAAGAACGCCAAAGATGGAGCTGCAAGAACAAAACTGCTGCAATTTGTTCCTACAGAAAGAGGGAAAAAGAACTTCTCACTTCTCGTGGAGTATGTAACAATCTTAATGTACAAAAATGAATGAAATAAATCTGGCAATTCAACGCATAACATGAATATGCAGGAACTTCATGAAAAAAAAGAATATTAACCAAGCACAAGCACATGTTCGGGTGTTTTGCTTTTAAGATTTGTTATATTTTATTTAAAACCCTCACTGCTGCCTTAAGGCTAGAGTTTGGACAAAATATTTTACTGGAAATCATTGAATGGATAGGATTTAATCTTTAGCTCTTTGAATATTGTTGACTTTGGTTATGTAGCTAAATAAATAGGAATTTTTGTGTTAATAACATATAAATAGTAATAATTGATCTTACATTAGAGAAATGTACCTCTGCATTTAACCCATCCCCTTGGGGAGCAGTGGGCTGCCATTGTGTGGCGCCTGGGGAGCAGTGTGGTTTTGCTCAGAATGGAGGCTGTGGGGATCGAACCGTGTACTTGCAGCCCTGCAGAACACAAGCTCCCCGCTCTGACCCACTAACACTCTCCAGATACACTAATGTGATTTAGCAAGATTCTAAATATAATGAATAAAAGCGATCCAGGAAATTGAACCCAGAGGAAATCCATGTGATCTTTTGATTACCCCTTAACACAAAGAGACAACAGTACCAGAAAATCATCTGTGTCAAATGCAGGTCTGTAATATAGTAACACAAAGTCAAAGGGTTTTGAAGCACCACTATGACACAGCCCTCTGTCATCAAGGACACACATGGTCATAATTACCCTAAATAGCCTGATATATGTCTATCCTCTAAAGGCCTATTTGTTTTGTGCAGCAGCTGCTGCTCCTGAGGAGGCTGAGACATTGTCCTTCAAACTTGTCCTTGAGGGGAGACTGTATGTAGTATTGTGGATCTTCCTCTCTGCAGTGGCTGCTGCATGCTGGCCACCTGATGTGCTCAGGAAGTAGGTCACCCTGACATAAATACAATTGGTATCTGTAAAGGAGTGTCCCTGGTGTAAAGACCTATTTGAATCAAGTACAGGCGTGCAGTATGTGCAGGACAGATTCAAATACACAGACTAAACAAAAACTTTACTGTATGACATGAAAAAAAAAACTCTTTATCACTAACATTTGTTTTTGGAGATGTACATGATTAGCTCTGCTTGTCACAACAGTCAATAAAAAGCTGTGTGTTAGCCAAGACTGTTTTAGCGGACCAACAGGATACAGCTGACCCATAACAGGTCATTTCCCAAACAACCTCCAGATGCCTGGATTGAGTCAATGTATTGGGGAGAGTGCCTTCTTGTTATGTTATGAATAGATGAGAAGGAAGAAGCACTTCCTCTGTAGTGTTGTTAGTTTACCATAAGCGTAATCCAGATATCTATTAGTAGGACAGAAGCAAATAAATGGTTTGGTTAAACTGAAGCAAACACAAATAAATAAAAATAAACAATTGTTTAAAAAACATAAAGTATTTAAATGCACTTTAGAAAGAGCCTTATACACCAGATAGAAAAAAGTGAATTTATCTGTCAGTTTAGCCTTGAATAAGTTTTTCTATTGATTTGACTTTAGTTCTTTACATGTTTTTATAGCAGGCAGTTAGGAGTTAATGCACCCTTGTGATGAGTTCATATTCCCTGCTTGCTTCAGAGAATAAAAGTAGCTGAGTTTTTTGGTATAATTTACACTGGATTTTATTAATCTCCATAATCTCAGAAAGTGTTTGTATTTTCACACCAGAACAACCACAATGGACCTATTTCCAGAAACAAACGATTAAGTATTTGATATTTATCATTGATATGTTCATATATTTCCAGCTCATTTATTATTACTTGGTATGTCAGAATACAGCATATGCATCTTGTTTTGTATTTCATTTGAATTTAAAGTTCAGAGCTTACTGGCACCGACAACCACAAACTTAAGTATCCTTTGATGAGCTTTTAAGTACATTTGTGACACAAAGCAGCATAGGACTGAGAAATGGAAAGTACAATCTGCCTGAGATCAGAATTGGCTGTAATTTTGTTGAACAGTTGCTCTATAAAGTATTGATTCTTCTGTAAAATACAGTGAAAAAAAAAAATCTTTTTTCAAAGCTTCAAGTCTTAAAGTGAATAATGTGGAAAAACT